CCTCTGCGTAGCTTCACAAAATGTCAGGGGTTGCTTTAGAATTTTAGCATTTTATTTTAAATATAAATTGTATTTTCCTCAAGTCTTAAACTTAAGTTCATACTTTAATCATACTCATAGGCCGTAGTCCTAGATCACCTCAAAAAAAAATCTGACATAACAAAAATTAGTCGTACAGTTACAGCACAGATAACTGATAAAGGACTTCACAAGTGATAGAGATATAAAGCATGTGACTGGCGTTTAAAAAAAAAATATTTAAAAATACAGCAGCGCAAGAGCTTTATTTAAATCGAGCCAAGGCCACAGCGATCAGCTGTAGGAGTGAACTTTAACCCCGACGGGCTTTACACGCCTACAAAACAGTGCGATTTCATTGGCTGATAATGGGAATGAAAACAAAGAAAATGGGTCAGGGTCTAAAAATGTCTCTTGCTCGTTACTAGACACTAGACCTTGATGTTAGTTTGAATAATGGGCCTGACCGATAAAAATTCTACCTTCGACCTCCAGTTCAAATGAATTAAAATAGCTTTGACCATAAAGAATGTCAGCTCAAGGAAGAAGAGGGATGAATTTGTATAAATTAATAAATGTGTCATTACTGAAAAATCATTTAAAGTATTATTTAATGTATAAGTATAAGTTTAAGTACAAGTCATACAGTATAATCAGCTACTATAATAAATAAATAATAAATCATAATCATAAGTAAATAGGTATGGTATCTCTCTGAAAATAATGACTACAACTAAAATTTGAATAATGGTGACCAAATCAATAAGACTTAATTAACTTATAAATGGAAACTAAAGGATCTTGATGGCAATCTTTACTTTAAAATATCAAATTAAATTTGGTGACTGGTGTTGTTGATTACGTAGTCTATAGGATAGTAAGATTTGGAATATAGAAAAGAGTTCCCTGAGTGAATATTTAAAGGGATTTTAAGATCATAAAATGACAGGTAATTTTAAGTTGCCCCTTCCATATTTTAAAATGGCTTTTTTTTTAACATTAAAAAAAGTGCTTTGTTTGTTCTCCACAACTCCTTAAGAGACTGGAACACGAAAGGACACTGCAATTCAACAACTAAACTTAATGGTTATTTCAAAAACACAACTGACTGCTTTATTTGTTGTACCCATTAAACTGCCCTCTAAATATGAGAACCGCAAGTTAGGCCTTTATAGTAATGTATAGAGATTGTACAGAATAAATAAGTTTTTGGTAACCAGAAAAGCCAGGAATATTATGAGTCTGAAGTAAAAAAAAAAAAAAAAAGAAAAAAGTTCAAGAAAAAGTATAATGCAGAAAATTAAATAAATTTGTTTAGAATAATTTTAATAAATAAGTTTTTGGGAACCAGAAAAAGCAGGAAAATTATGAATCTGAAGTAAAAAAAAAAAAAAAGAAAAAAGTTCAAGAAAAAGTATAATGCAGAAAATTAAATAAATTTGTTTAGAATAATTTTAATTTTATGGTTACTATTGATAGTCAATAGCCACAAGATTTTACTTATTGATTTAGATTGTAGATTTATTTTATATCTAAATATAATTTCCTCTGCTTAAAAAAATTAGCACTGATCAGAAATGAAGGGAGAAGTGTATATTTAAATAATTTAAGTAGTTTACAGCTTCATTTCTTCCCATAAATTATTTTTGTTATAAAATTACTAAAACTGTCATACACCTAGAAGCCAGGGTTTTCTCCAGCATTTTTAGCCTTATAATCACTTTTTAAAAATAATTCTCAAACATTTTTGGAATTTATAAATATTTTAATAATTAATTATATACATATATTTCTCATTTCATCGAAAAACCTGAAATATTGGTAAAAATTGCATGTGGTCTAAATTTCTTGTGTGTCAAGATAGAGAAGACAACTGATGTTTAGCTCTATTCCAAGTTTGCATCTGATTACTGATTTTAGATACTCACAGTTAAGACATCCCCCCCCCTCCATGCATCTCCAAACAAAAAGCAAACTCACAAAAACTAAATGTCTTTTTTCCTGGTCTGAGGAGTTTATGCCAATCCCACTAAGTATTGGCCCATGCCCATAGCTTTATAATTTTTTGAAGAAACAATCAATTACTATTGCTACTGCTTCAAAACAAGTATGTCTAATTAGTTCATTATACCACTATATTAATCTTGATATATTTGATAAAGGCTACACTGCTACAGCTAAAATAACAGTTTTTTTTTCTGTGAATAATATAACTTCCTGCACAGCAAAAATATATAAATTACATAATCTATTATATAATTATAATATAATCTTTTTAATTTTAGCTTCATTCAATAGAGTATGCTATGCCTATACTTCAAATTGCTACAAACTCATAATCACATCATTTTATTGATTCTGTTGTAGCGAATGTGGTTAGGTAAGCTACAATTGAAAGTTTTTTTTTTCTTTAAACTTAAAAAAAAAAATAAAAAAAAAAAAAAAAAAAAAAAAAAAAAACGGACTAGTTTACAAGGTGCCTAATAATTAAAAGTAGGAAAATACAGTCATTAAAATAATAGGCTAGGGCTATACTATATATATACTATTACTATATACTATGTTTAGTTCAGCAAACCTACTACTGCTGATTACTGTTACTTAGAAGTGTCTTAAACTTAAAAGTATTACCTTGTTGATTGTCTCTTTGCCTTGTTATTAAATGTTATTGTTGAATTCTAACATTTTAGCCTAAAATTTAGGCTTAGGTCAAGTTAACCCCGGTATTACTAGAGGCTAGAGGGCGACGGATATGTAAAATAAAATATTGAATAAGATTAATAGAATTATCATAATCATATAATATTTAGACATAAATTGACTGATGATGATTAAATTTATTAGACAAATTAAAATTAAATTTAAATAGCATCCACTCAACTGAAACCCGACGTAGAGCAGCCTAGGCTGCACTGACGTTAGTTTAGTGGCGGTGTAACTCAACTGGTAATAAGGAGTACGACGTCAATGACTACACGTCAAATCATAAGCTCGATAACATAAACGGTAATTACTAATGAAACGAAACACTAAATTAAAATAAAAAGTTGAAAGTACGTCATACTACGACTCAGAAGTAACGTAAGAAAGCTTCTCTTATGTGACTTCTCTGAAAAAGCCTGGCGAAAAGTGGCACAAAAACAAAATAATATTTCACGTCATCTAAATTTATAATAAAAAAAAACTTACAACAGTCAGAGGCTTCAGTCTCTTTGTTTTCGTCATGTCTTCATATTGATGATCCAGTATATTCATTTCGTGCTAAATTGAAAACAGCTATTTGAGTGATTAGCGGGTAGACAGAGAACCAAGTACTCGATAGACCACAGATGCTTACTTGTTTACAAAATGATGCTATTTCGGGACAATATATTACCAGTATCAATTCACGTGACATTGTATCAACGCTTTTCATTGGGTCTATTCTCTATCCAATCAACTTTTGGGTTATAAAGAATTAATATTTTAATTTGGTAAAAAATTATGCGCACTCTTTGTTTCTTGTGTAATTATAACGAATGTCAGTATTGTCAGTAAACTAGATAGTGGCATCATGGTTTATATAAAAGATTCCATTTATGAAAGAATATTGACGCATGTACAAATTATCAACTTTCTTTACGTTACGATTTCAATGGTTAAAAAAAAAATATTTATAAAATTCAGTAGTCTACTTAATACTAGTACTAGTCAGTAGTTGTTATGTTAATGATAGGGCTGTAATTTACAGTTTACAGCAATAATATTTATAAATATTAAAATTTAATAAATTTAATAATAAAAACTATATTATATAATTTATATGCCATGGCTACTTCACTTAAAATTAAAGTAATAATTTAAGTCAAATAATAGTCATAGTTAAATAAGTAGGCATAGTAGTAAATTCGTAAATGACATGTATTTGTTTAGATTTAGTATATATATTATTATATAAGGCCTAATATACCACATATAATTAGAACTGATTCAATTTTAGTATAGAAAAGTTCATCTTAATGATAATTCATTCAAATTGTTTATTAGTATTATTTGGTTGACAGACTAATAAATTAAAAAAAACACACACACACATAATATAAAAATATCAGTAATAAAAATAGTTTACACATTGCCTTAAAATTAAAATAATATACAATTTTAAAAAAACAACAAGTTGAGCATTTGCTATGTGTAGCTCTACTTTTTAAGAGAGATAGGTAGAGAGAGAGAGAGAGAGAATGAAAGAGGGAGGGAGGGAAGGAGAGAGAGAGTGGTGAGAGAGGGAGGGAGAGAGCAGAATTTCTCTGATTGGATACTAGTGACAGTACTTTTATATTTTTGGCCTTTTTCGAACGCTAACAAATATTAAGATGGGGTAGTATCCAAAAGAAAAATATTTTGATATGCGGTATGAAAAAATGAAAAGAACTTGTCGAATCATAATTAGCTCAAAAGTATTTGTCGACAAATTTTACTACATACTACAGTGGTTGTTTCAATTTAAATTTAAGATGATATTTAGCCTATGATGAGATTGAGATCCATGAGACATGAAATTTTAAATTTTATATTAAAAATGTGTGCAAATATTTATTATGTATACATTTGATCAAATTACGATTTTGTACCAAAATTCCAAGTTTATACTTTTTAGAAATGTAATTATTGACAGATATTGGATTTAATATAATGTTAATGATCTGAATTATAATTATTATTAAAGTTAAAGTTAAAGTTAAAACATATGTCTCAAAATTAAATTAAAAATTGACAAATAGTACTTTAACATTTGTTTGGAAACCCAAAGTAAAAAAAAAATATTTCTAGTATTTGCATCATTTATTTGTATTAAAATAGAGTAGTGATAACATTTTCGAGTAATATCTTCAGGTAGATAGCTCACTGTTGCGTCGAGGCTTAAAAGTATAAAAACAAAATACATAAACATAAAACCGATACGTTAAAAGGGATACCAGAAGAGGGCGCTATAAGGCAATAATAAGGAAGTAAAGAAAATGCGAAGTCAAAAAGTCGACACCGAAAATGTTTACGGCAAGATAGATTAAGATTATTATTAATCAATTAAGAAACAATGGGTAAAGATCAAGACTTGCTTGAGGCATGTCGCACAGGGAATGTTGCAACGGTGGAAAAACTTTTAGCGGGAAGACTTAGTGCTAAAAGAGGATCTAAAACATCAATAGGTGGCGGAGGGGCTCTTTCCACCTTGTCCAAAAGGTTGCTATGGATTTATAACATAAATATTAAATACTAAATACATACTGCATGTGACCTGTGTGTAGTGTCGAGTGCCATGGTTACTTTAATAATACATTGCATAGATAGATTCTTTATGTTTATTTAGCCCTATCCATACATCATATGGCTATGATTACGAATGAGTACTCTGACATTAAAAAAATATTTCATAGTAGAGTTCTCTCTCTGACCTGGTCCATCCAGTCCAGCTCCTCAAAGTTCAAGATGAATAAATAAATTATATCAGTAAAAACAGGAGCACTGGGATAAGCATTTATTCCATACCCCGCATTTATCAAGATTGGGTAGAGCGTGTTACCCTCTATTGACTATTTTATGATACTTTTTTTTTTCTTAATTCATCCCAACGGTTACGAATGCCGAATAAATATGTACTTGGGGGGTTCCTACGGATATGTCCAATTGTGCACCGGTGTGTAGCAACACAGCTCTCTCATTTTATTTAAATATAGCTATGAAATTTCACATTCATCAAGACATCTGGTGATGGCATGATTCTGCTTGATTACAATTTTCAAAAATGGAAGTTTTTATCTTGTTTCACTTTCATAATGTATGCTTTAGTGTGGTGCGTCTGTATCTAGCACATGTTCATCCCAGGTGTCAAAATCAATATTTTGGTCATTGCTTGTTATTTGTTCACTGTTATGGCTTGTTATTTGTTTGCTGTGTGCTGTATTTGTTTTATTTAACCTAATTCATTTCATGATGCATTTATATTTATTTCATTAATATTAATTAATATTTAGCAGCTAAAAAAATATTTGTATTTCATATTTAAATCAGTGGCAAAAGGGCGTTACTTCCCTTTGTTCAGGAATATAAATTAAGCGAAATATGGAAATATCACTTCCATCAGGAGTGAGTTAAATAACAACTTTATGTACCCTGGTTTAACCTTAATAATTAGCATTGTTGTAACTTAAACTGTTGCCTTTTCTCCCAATCTTTTCTATACGCTGCTTCCCCTACTAATCATTTGACAATTCTTTCACCTCTCTATGAATTGTTTTTCTAAGTTTTAAACAAACATAACAATCCATTTTAAATGAAAATAATGGATTTCTAATTTATTACTGAATTGCAAAGAAAGCTGTAGAATTTAAAAAATAAACATAGACTATAGCCTATTACAAAAATTAAAAAGTTAATAAAGAAATGATTAAATATTATATATATAAACATTTATATCATAACTTAACTTAATAATGTTCTAATAATCCCTTTCCTTGCGACCCGTAAATTGCCTTGAGCACTTCAGGTTTGGAAAACCTGATATATAGTGTTACAATCAAAAGCAAAGTTGCCAATAAATAACCTCTTAAATAGCAGTTAATCAGTTATCAGCCTATTTTGTAGATTAAAAAATTAGGCCTAGTGCCAGTATTTTTCTCATTATTTGACATTCACATAAAAATTTCTGTCGTTACAAAAGACGCACTATTTATATATATTTATTTTTGTTTACTACTGAGCCCTCATATCTCCAAGGTTTTTATTTTTACCCCATTTGGGGTAATTCATACATGCCAACCTGTACATTTTTTTTTTACTGGGCTTAGAAAATAAATATTTTTGCACAACATACACATTCTAAATTTTTGGTGTAATATATTCAACATTGGACATCAGGAAGCTTAAATCCAATTTGTCCATTCAAAATGAGTGCAGTTTCATTGATATCATATGTTAATACCAAGACAGCGTAGTAGGGTAGTAACTACTTTGAGTAGTAAACCATAATTACATATCCAATTACAACAAGAACTGCAGTGTTAGTAAGTGTTCTTTTAATTTCTAAGAAATGATTAAATATATTTAATAACATTACTATCAATGACTAGCAATTGTCATTATTCCCATTTATTACTACAACATGGTTTAATAATTTATTTAACTTGTTTTGCTTTCCAAAAATAAAAGCGGGTGGGATCTTCTTTGTTGTACAACTTATTTTATTGTTTTTAAACTTATATCCTCTCTTAAAGTAAAAAATGATATTTATAAGTTGACTGTCGACCTAATAACTTTGTCAAAACAGAAGTTTATTTTACAATGATAATTTAAATACTAGAATCTTTATTACTATTGCTAGCATAATTAACCGAAGAATTATGGCGAAAATCAAATATAAAAACAAGCTATTTTCATTTAAGAGATTCGATCTATCCATTTATGAATGAAGTGCTCCTAGTGAAGAGAATATTGTTCATTTTTTTGTTCTTGCTTTCAAAACAATATACTTTTTTCAGCTTTTCATTTTTTTCTGTACAGCTTTTCATGCTGTTGTACAGTCTTTTGGGACCTTTTGCACAATTTTTTATTCTAAAAGTTGGCATGTATGGGTAACTTAATAAGCCTTGTATAAATTGTACAAAATTGATTTGTTAGGGAATACAGGGAAATACCTACACATCAGTGGTCCATGGGGATGTAGGGGATATTAACTGGCACATGCAGTGTCACAGGTATAGGTATGGGGACTACCCCGGGGCGAATGTATATGTATATATACTGTATCTTTGTAATTTAGGCTAATTTACATTAGAGATTATCAGTAAGATGATGACACCATGTTTAATTAAAATACATCCAGTTTTAGTAACATTTTTTACGTAATGAGACGTTGCACATTATTCCATTTAATGGCAAAATTACTCTCACACAGCTTACTGAGTTTGAAGAGTGCCAATGTCAATTGTGCTGATGGCAGTGGAGAAACACCATTACACTTGGCTGCACTGAATGGTCACAAGTAGGTTTAACATTTTATTTTGATATTGTTTTTTATCAAGAAAGGATAATTATTATTAAAATTTCCTGCAGGTGATAACTTATAATCTAATAGAATTTTCAAAATATTGTGTTATGAAATCCATTAGCCTCGGAGTGTTGTGGAAAGGGTGGGGGTTGGTCCATCCAAGTCCGCATTTTTGGGCCTGCTGAATTTTAAAAAAAAATGGTTTTAACGTAAATTTGCAGGAGAATATAACACAGCATGCATTCAAACATTGCTAAAGTTTATTCATCCCCTATTATAGAGAAAACAAGAAGAAAAAATTGTGTTACAAAATAGACATCATTATTTTGCATGTGAAAAAAGCCTGGTCTTATTCTATGGGCGGTCCATTTCAGTGAATGTCTTCAGAAAGCTGCAAATTTTAGTCTTTTTGGTGGAGCTATGGATGATATTAAATAAAAGGGAAAACTCATGAAAGCTGGAAAGAAGATACAATTCGGGTAAAGCCATCTTCTGCACATGTAGAATTTGAAATGTAGAAAGTAACATTTAGATATGGTTGCCTCAGATAAGTGGGCTAAGTGATGGCGGATTCTATCATTCTTTTTTTTAAAGTTAAAAGCCCATTTTTATTTTATTGATACATTTTTTTGTATGGTAGCCTATGTCAATGCATCCACTTTCCTTAGATATTGATGCTATATTAAAGTAAGACCTTCCCTAGGTATTTTTATGGAAAGGGGGGGTGGGGTGGGAATTGGCATATAGCCGTCTTATGTAAATTATATGTGTATCTTCAGTTTCAAGAAGAAAAGTTTTCTGGTTTATAATTAAACATTTTTTTTAAATGGAAAAATTTAAAGTTTGTTTAATTTGATAAAATTTAATAATTTGTTGAACTTAAATGACCTCAACAGAGGAAAGGAATTTCTCAAAGTTAAATTTCACTGGTTCCAGTGCTGAGTTATCTCTCTAGAACACTTGACGTCTTTCCAACTATAAACTTTAGAAACAACACTCTTTGATCTCCTATCTTCAAAATCAGTGGGATTCATAGACAGACGAGTTGTCTTTGTTCCTTCTTTATATTTTATTATGTCTATCTCTATCTTTGTTTGCCCTGTCTTTCTCTAGATTCTAGTCTTCATTTCTAGTGCTGCTTTCATGTGTAGCTGTGCAAGAAATTACGTTATAACATCAGTTTACATCTAGGATGCTTACCACACATTTATTAGCAAAGATCAGCTTTGTCTTTTGATGGTTGCTTTCTTCTCCTCTGTGTTTTATAATAACTGTTGGATAATAAATAAAGTGGAAGTGATGTCCTTCTCATTGGGGCGCTTTATACAAAATTTCCACATTAGTTCCTGTAAGCAAAAGATACTTTACATATTGACCTCTTGGCACAGCCTCAATGTGAGATACTCTATTTTTATAATAAGCTTATTAATTTCCCCAATGTCCCAATAAATCTATTACTTGGACCCACAGGGAGAGCAATTATTCAGCCCTGAATCTCTTGTTACTGAATATTGACTTTTATGTGGTGTGCCTTTTTGCTATCAATAAGAATATTAATAACAGCAATGAAAAATAAGGTGTTTTTACCTTTTTATTAGCAAGGAGAAGTTTAAAAAAAAGATTTAGTGGGAAAACAATAATACACATTTTTTTGAAGCTACATTTTTATTTTGGATTGAATATATTCTATTATTTAAATATATGAAGTTCAAGTTGGTTTTTTGCCTTTGTTTTAAATATTATTTTTTAAAATTTTGCAATTGCTTGATGGTTCAGGATGTACATATATAGTGCCCACCCACCCCCTTAAAAAATTGAATAATTAATTTTTTTTAAAAATCAGTGATCTAGTATAGAGTAGATTATTTGTGCACTTCATCCTGGATGTTATATTTTGTACTTGGTCTGTTCATCTTTATCCTTTTAAAAATTGTTTCCAATAAAAAATGCTTATCTCTATTTGAAGGGAGATTGTGTCCATGCTATTAGAATGTGAGGCTTCCCCAACTACCCGAGATACACAGGATTGTTCACCTCTGCACCTAGCGGCATGGAATGGTCACACAGACATCTGCAACCAGCTTTTGCAAGCACCAAATGGAAATACTTTGATCAATTTGCAGGTACTAATGCAAACTAGAAAAAATGTTAGTGGCAAAAATTTGTAGCTCAGAATTAGCACAAACATTTTTTTTTAAAGTTATGACAATTTTATTGGAAATTCTGCTGAATCCAATTTGAATGTTAAGCTGCATTTTTTTCTGTGCATAAGAATTTAAGTTTTTAAAATTAATTAAGACTTTATTTATTGGATGCAATAATATGTTTCATTTTCTTTCCTTTTGTTCAGGATTGAAAAAAAATAATATAAGCACCTCTTTTTTAAAAAGAAAACTATTTAAAATAAATCATCTTGGCTTTAAATGAAAAAAAAAATATTTTCCATTTTATTTCAGACTCGAGAAGGAAACACTGCACTTCATTTTTCAGCACAACATGGCCACAGCCCTACATTGTCATTACTATTGCAGGTAACTGTCTCCATATCTGGTTAATTATGGGTATTTAGCACTTTCTAAAAATGGTAATAAAGTCCATAAAGTTATTTTTTTTTTTCATAGATTTTTTAATCTGATAATGAATTTCCTTTCGTTATTATAAGCTGAAAACCACGAATCAAGTAGATAAATACTAATAAATCTAGGTATTTAATATTTAATGCTGAAAAATGATTGCTGGACCATTAGGGGTTGGTTGTGTTTTGTTTGAAGATTGAAAGTACACATTTTTTTGGTTGGTCTTACCTTGATGTCATAGGGGCTGGCCTGAATCTTGGTTGGTCTAACATTGATGTCTTGGGGGCTGGCCTGAAAGTATGTGTTTACTCAGTTGGGATGAGAAAATTTACGAAATTTTAAATATTTTTGTAATTGTTGATCCTTACATCAATTAATAATTTTTCATATTTCTGGAAGTATTTGCATTTTGCGTTAACACTTTGGCGATGAAGCTTTTTTGGAGTGTCAGTGCAAAAAAAAATAATTTAAAAAAAACTATCTATTTCCTTCACATGTATAAAACTGTATTATCTATTCTTGTTTGAAATTGAATGAACCAATATAAATAATATAATCTTTATGAATCAAACTGAAATCTCAACAGTTATTCAAATAAGCTGTACTGATTTGCATAATTTATGCATGTAATGTTTTGTTACACTTAGAAGAAACATAACATACTAGTATCATTTGTTTTAATTTTTTGATGGATGAGGCCAGAATCAGTATTTTGGGAAACAAGAGGCACTTCAGACACCTTTGGCACATGGTCTACTCCTTTTCCGACTCCAGCTATTTTTTGGTTGCTACAGACACTCACTGTAACAGGCACCCATTTATGACCACCTCTTGAGCAGGGTGTTACTGAGAAAGTTTTTTTGCATACCTATTGTTTAGGGGTGTGCCGGAATCCGGTCCGGAATCCGGTTCCGCCGGATTTTGCACTATCCGGTGAAATCCGGTTCCGCCGGATTTACATGTATCCGGAACAACCGGATTCCGGAATACACCTGATTTCGGAATTTGCCAGATTTTGTGACTCACCGGATCATAATCTGAAATAAAAGTAATTCTCTTTCCCGAATTCCACACGATCACGATACATTAATCGATTGTTTCGAGCGTTGAGCTTGTTTAATGTTTAATATTCCGTACATACCAGAGGCTAGAGTCAGCACCGCTAATAGTGGCCAATAGTGTAGGGACTTTGATAAGAAAATTTAAACTTTTTGTAAAAATAAACCAATGGCATAGTTGAAAAGATGTAATTTTTTAAAGAATTATAACACCAAAATCATATTTTTAGCTGTTGTAGTTTTAAAGTTATGAATTTTTAAAGTACGACTTGGTTTGTCATTTTTTAACATGGACTGCATCTCCACATTCTGTGATCTCATTCCACCAATCCCGTCATGCGCAATGACTATATAGTTTATATAAGGCAACGCATTCCCTGCCTTATCACTAAAATACTGTTTAGACTTAGTTTAAACTTTCAACTTTGGCACATGAATAATTAATTAAAGCTTTCCCTGACCAATGGTTTAATAGTTTTTGCACACGGCAAACTCTTATGAATGAAACTCTGAGGTAGTACTACGATACAGTTATGCAAGTGGCTGTGAATGGTTGCCAATGACAACGTGTTGCACACGGTAAATTCTGATCATTTATAATATGGATTCTACCGGGTTGTTAAAGCTCAAATTAAAACATTCCAGTTTAAATGTCTTTAAATGCATTCTGAAACACAAGTTATCAATTATTTTGATGTAAATAGTGATAATAAATTAATATTTCCTAAGTATCGTCAACTTCCGCCATTAAAAAGGGGGGCGTGGCCAACCCCATGGCGAAATTAGGTTGAGCGAGCTGCATAACCTGCTGCGAACGCGTAGAAACATGGCGTCTCTCGTAAGACACTTATCCAAATGGAACGGAACTCAAATATATATCGAAAGTACTAATTTAATAATAAATAGACACACACATCGGAAAATTAAAAACTCGGATTTTTTGGCGCCGATTGCGAATTCCCATACACAAAAAGTAGTAGTCCACCTTGACTTACCGAAGTATCTACCAATAGTACCAAAATCCGGAATCCGGGAGAAACCGGAATCCGGATTATTCCGGAATCCGGATCCGGCGGATTTCGCATAAGAAAATCCGGATCCGGATCCGGTTGGAAAAAACGGATCCGGCACACCCCTACTATTGTTGGTCTCTCTCACAAACATTCAAATGATTTTTAGTGTAAAAAATAGCATGAAGTACTCAGCTGGGGTGCTTATATTAATAGGTCCTGTTTTGAAAAAAAAAATCATTGGGGTCATCTCTATCCAGTTCAGGACCCCTAATATCTAAACCAAGGGTTCTCAACATTATCATCAACATCATCGTTTTGATTATCTTTATTACATTCCTGGTTATTTTCATCAGTGTCAGATTCACTGCTAGAATATCCGAATCACTAAGGATAGTTTGATTACTGTCACTTGTGACAGTATGTGATGACTGATGTTTGTTAGTTTGTATTGATTTAACTTTGTGCCCTGACTGTCCTGTGTTGTTGTCATGTTGTATGACTGGACCTGGTTTTCACGAATGTTTAAGCTTACATGTGTGAATATTGGTTGGAGAACTGGAGTGAGGGTTCATGTGATGTCAGGTATAAAAATAATGTTTAATGGGGAATAAAGGTTAGTTGTTACACAGACCACAGGCTTGAGTTGGTATCTTATTATATTACATCACTGTCATACATTTTGGATTTTAACATATTACTTCAATACAAAAAAAAATAAAAACAAAAGCTAGTAAACAAGGGACAGAGGCTGCCATTAAAATGCCAGGATTTGCAGGAAATTTAAGAAGTAATTTGATAAGCTAGTTATAAAGACCAGCCTGTCAATCTTGAGGTTTGATTTATCAAAGCCAATGAATCAGCCATTCGTCTTCTTTGTCATTCGACCATGGGCCGATTCCAGCAATCCCAAGAGGGTTAATTATTTATTTCATTGGAAGCAATTTTACAAGTGTTCGTTTGTCAGAAAGGGATAAAATTTTGTAACCTGAAGACTCATATTTAAAACAAATTTTAAAAAGAGCTCATTCTCATAACCTTCAATACATTTTTTTAAATGTCACTTTATTCTTTTTTCTCATTCAGAGACGAGCTGATCCCACCATTCGCAACCTGGAAGACTTATCACCTGTTGACCTTGCTGCCCAGTATGACAGACTGGACATTGTCAAACAGTTGATCACATCCCACCCTGAGTTGGTGGCACAGCGATCAAATCTCAATACCCCACTGCACCTGGCTTCTAGAAATGGACACCGTGCAGTTGCTCAGTACCTGTTGGATTCAGGATTCCCTGTTGATGCCAAGGTAATGTTTTGTTCCATAAATTTAAAAATGCTTAATGTTTTGGCCATATTTAAGTATCGGCTGTGACTGACCTAAATTATTTATTTTTATTGATTTCAATACATTTATCAGGTGAGCAGAATTATTAATATATAAAAAAAAAAAATGAAAGTACTTTTGTTCTAAATTAAGACAATGTTATCTGAAAAGGATGACCTACAGATTTTAATTACAAACCCCCAAAAACCCCCCACATTTTTGTCTCAAAGAAGTTTTAACATTTCTGTACTCAAAGTTAATCAGATAATAATCACTTATCTTCCTTTTTTTTTCAACCTAAATTTCCCTTAAAATGTTTAGTAAAAAAAACAACAAATTAATAGAAAATTTAAAAAATACAAAGGTCTGTTAACATAGTAAATTAATTCCTAATTCCTGCACTAAACCTACTTTATAACCTCATGCACTATTCCAAATATAAATTAGCAGCTCCTTGGGTTATAAGTAGATGTTGTCATGATAAATTGTATAACATGGCCATATTATTGGATTTGAGACAAGACAGCATGCAGTAGTTGAAGGCACCAGCACCTACTGAAAATATTGATATATAGATTTTCATCCTGTGTCAAAGTTTTTTTAGTTGATTGTAATGTGAAATTTAAAGAAATGTGACTAAAATTGTGAAATTAGACTTAAGATTGTGAGGAAAGTATATGTGCACAATTAGCCGTTAACTATCTGGTAGTAAGATTTATCAGAAAAATGCTAGTAATCCACCAGAGGCCTGATCCAAGTTTTAAGTAAACTGTTAAGTTTTGACAGCCTCTGTGACATTTTTTGAGCCATAAAAATTCCAGATAATTTCTTTATAACTAAAAATACACAAAGCTCATACATTTACTCTGTATGAAAGCCTTAGTCTATGTTATATTTAGTAATACTGTATCTAACACAAGGAAAACTAACACCTCTGTTCAGCTTCATGTCTAGAAATTTAATGACAAGCTACAAGCAAAATAAACAACATGGCCTCTCACGTCTCATTTCAAGAAACATGGGCGTCACCATTGACAGCAAAGGGAAGCAAATGTGACAATACAATGACGACATCACGACAGTCTAGTCAATTCAGTAATAATGTGCTTTCCAGTCAGAATATTGAAATACATTTTATTTAAAAAAAAAAAAATAAGTTGCTTAACTTCCTGTTAAATTCTTGATCAATATCTCATTGTCATCCTAAGTTTGTGTGTGTCATAAGCATGTAATGTGTCAATAACCAAATAAGTACACACTTAACCTATATTAAGCATGTTGTATTAAAATGAAAACTAAATTGTTGTTTAGACAAATTGATAATGTTATCATACACTCTGTGTTCATGTAATCCATAGAAATGCATAAAATGACTTTAACAAAAGTGCATTGTGGGTGACACTCTACAGAAGAGGCACCTTGGTACAACAAAGATTACATATATGCTGTATGTTCTCTTAGCAAATGTCTATGTCTTTTTTAAAGAAAAAAAATAATAATTTGGTGTGATTTTTAAGCTGCTACAGCACTGATTGGACCAAAGTAATTATTTCATGACCATGAAATAGATGTTTCCGTTTGATTTTCTCCTAAGAGAACAATCTTACACCCGACTGGCCCAACTCGCTTTATCAATCAACTTGTGCTATATTTTAAGGGCCATAAACCGATTCGTAATATTGTGCAAAATTAGGATCTTTACTTGTTTTGACATGCCAACAACCAATAAGTCTACCTTATAAGATACTTTTCTCTATCCATTTATTAGAATTTTGTCCTATGCATGAAAATCACGCTTCTAGTCTGGCATTTGTGCCATAAGCGTGAAAATCACTCTTCTAGTCTGGCATTTGTGCCATAAGCTTGAAAATCACTCTTCTAGTCTGGCATTTGTGCCATAAGCTTGAAAATCACTCTTCCAGTCTGGCATTTGTGCCATAAGTTTCCAACTCCTGCTATATTCCTGTACAAACCCTGAACACAACATATTGTTGTAGATAGTTTTTTATGTACTGACTGATTGAATAATACATTGTGTTTGTGTGCTGTGTTATTATATGCCTGCCATCTAACCTGTATGCCATCACAGACGGACAAAGGATCAGCCCTGCATGAGGCTGCCAACTTTTGTAAGCTGGACGTCATCAAGCTGCTCTTAGAGAGAGGTAAACATTCAAATATGCATATGGAACACTGTCAAAAGACTATTTGAAGAAAAAAAGTTTTTCAATTTAAATTTTCTTTGTTTTATTTTTCATTATATAAATAGTTAGTCATTAACTAAAAAAAACCAAAAAAAAAAAACCTATCATGTCATTGATTTTCGAACTGAAAATATTTATTATAAAAAATGGAAAAAACAGATAGTTGGTTCATGTTAAAAAATGATTTTTAAAATAATCAAAACACAAAGACAAACTGTCCAAGAAACTAAATTTTCCTAACAGCATTTATTGGCATCCCTTTCATGCACATATAATGAGAGGATGTAGTTCACAAGCATGTTTTGTTGTAGAAATAGAAACCAGTTAGGTAGGTAGCAGTAAAATCACTTGTTTTGTTCCCAGAGTTATATTTTAGAATGCACATGCTTCTGTTTTCTTAAATAATATATAATGCCTCTGATTTGACAAAGGGGGTGTTTGTTTCAGGCGTAAGTTGAATTTCAGTTTGAACACATTTTGAAAAAAATTAAATAGTTAAAAACAATCATATAAGATTGGTTTAGAGATACCTTAAAAACTGAAAAATGTCATGAGTAATGTAAAAGGAACAAAATGAAATTTAATATGTTACTTGAGGCAAATGCATTTATTTCCTTGATTTCAGGAAAAGAATATTATTAAGTGAACAAACTTTACATTTGTTAATTCCGTTGACAGGACATACAAGGATTTATTGGCACTTGTTTAATTTTATTCTGTTCTGAAAACTAACTGAAGCTCTGAATACTTCAAAATTGCAGACAAATACAATTCTTTAAACTCGTGCATGTCGTACATAAAATTGACCCTAAGCTAACAGAGTATTGTTTTTAAAAACAAGTTAACGGTTTATTTCACTTTTAGTACCCCATCTGCTCTCTCATAATTTGTCAAGGAATATCTTTTAGCATTGACTTATCTGACACGTGATTTTAAAAGTCATTTTCTTAGCAAAATGATATTGATGAATAATGTTTATGATTAAAATATTTTAAAAATAAACTGCAGAATTCAGCTTTACCATATATAATTTTAACTGTTTTAAGATTATTTATAAAAAGAGAGTACCTTATTATTGTTTTTTTAAAATAAAGGTTTATATTTGCACTATCTTATGTAGGCATCGACATAACTGTCAAGTCTCAGACAGGCTGCACGGCAGAAGACATCCTTAGATCCATACCTTCAAAAGCTGCAGAAGATGCCCTTAACATTCTTAAAGGTATACTTTATTTTCACATTGACTAGTTAGTTGTGAATTTCTGATTTGTTTGCTTTTCAAATATATATTTTAAAAACTTGGCTCTATAAATTGCAATTTTTAGCCCAAAATCTCAAAATCAATTTGTTTTTATTAATCTATGACATCATTGACATAATTTAAGAATACATAATAAAAAAAAAAATTTAATTTCATATTTAGATGTTAATAAAATGAAATACATATTTTTACAATTCTAATTTCATAAATTTACACTATCATCAATGCTACTGAAATGAAAGTTCATGAATTTACCTTTTTCTTCATTCAATAATATTACTGTAATTAGCTAAAAATTAAAAAAAAATGTATTTGAAATGTAATTTGTAAGTGAACCATGGTTTATAAATCCAAGACATGCATGTCCTCAAACCATCGTCATCTCTCAGCTCACATCTACCATCAACGAACTCCTGACTCTGACGGAGAGAGGGGAATCGCACCTGATCCCAGCCCAGACTTGCCCACTCCCATTTCTGCAGCTCCTCAAGAACCCCCTCCGCCAGTCAAAGCTCTTCCTGTCCCTGCTGTCCATCCCAACACTGTTGAAAGAAAAACCTACCTCCTCAAAAGGTGAGTTGCAGGTTTATCTTATTTTCCACATGTTAAATTAGCAATGGACATTAGTTTCCTAAAGGTGAAGAAAAGACACACCTCATATTTTTTTAAACTAAAAGTCTTAGAATTTTCAAATGCCAAAAAGACTTATCAGTACTTACATCAAATGCTGTAGTGATCATGTACTATTTTGTTATTTTGTTTTAATGATTTAATGGCTACATAAAGATTCTCTCAATCTATTAATAATTTTCCAAATTCTTTTATTGATTTCTTGAAAAGCAAGTTTAATAAGCTGTTTAAATTGTATGAGATCTAAAGCCTTCATTTATCAGTACATACATTGTTCTTACCCATGGCTTTCTTTCTGATATCCTTGTTATATCAGAGAGACAAATAAACTAGCAGGACTCAAATAGCTTAACTAAAATAACCAAGTGCCGAGAAGAAAATACTTGCCCTCTTTGATACGTTTATGCTGTGTAGCTGACATAATAACATAATTCAATGTAATTTTAAATAGTTTAGTTTTGTGCTGTAAATTTTCAACCTAATGTTTTCTAAATAAGTAAAACATTTTTGTTGTATTGTTTTTATTTCCTTAAAGTTTCACTTACCGTGCACTTCACGTTTACATTTATTCAACTTGATCAAAGTTTGCCCAGAATTATTTTCCATTGACTTATTGTTAACAGACTGTGAGGAATGCTTGAGTCTTGTTTATCACAGGGAATATAATGCCATGCCTAGAATTTTAAAAGATAAAGTTTGTAATTCTATTCTTATAAAGGTGTTCGTAACAAAATTTTCAAAAAAATTAGTTAAGAATTCCTTAAACAAAATTAATGCTCCCAACTATTGGGACATTATAGGGGCCATCCTTAAGTTTGATAATTTTCATCTTAAATTAATTTTTGCAATGGGGCAAAGTTTAGCATGAAAAACACCAATAACAATTTTAGCCTTTACCACAAAGCACACGTTTAATATGCAACACAAAGCATATAATTAGTTCTGTACCTCAAAATCCACATTTTCTTTCAGACGTCGAAATGTCGTAACTTGGGTGTAAGAATGGCATGTCTTTAATTTATTCATATTTTAAAAGGGCACCAGGTTGCATGCTCACTTGGACATTTTCACACTTGGGCATCTTGACAAATGTTCACATCATTAGTGTGACTTTATATCAATATGGCTGCTCTGTTAATTAAATGAAAAATTTCTGTCTATTCACTTATCTTTACCTTAGTGATAGGATTGAAAACACTAAATTTGGAGCTGGTCATGTGACATGATTTCCTGCACCTTGAATGGCATTTTCTGGCTAACTAACAATAATTCATTTAATAATTTCAGGATGTTATCCCTTCCTTTTGTTATTTACTTTCTGTGGTCAACTGATCCAAAGATTCAAGAAACTGATGACAATACTATCTATGATAAAGTATTTCACTTCTCCTGCTCTGTATGTGTCTCTCAGCTTTTGATTCCATTGCTATTTCTATTCAGTGCCTCTGCTTTCTCTATTTTTTCTTAAGGTCATATTTAAAAAAAAAAAACAAAAAAAAAAAAAAACAACCATAACCAAAGACTTGAACTTGGCATGGTCATCCTAGTGTCCAGTTGTATCTGCTTCATTCCTAGTTTAGTTGTATTGAATACAATGTATGTCTGTCTGCAATCTTAAGTGTTCCTGATGTCATGATGAATATTAGAATCTATTGGAATAAGCATGGGTGCTGTAATGATTATTTTTTGCATATAGATTTTCTCAATTATTTCAAACATTAAAAAAAATACTCTTCAAATTAACATGCTTATTATCCATGAGTTTTTTGTTTTTTTTTATATTCAACAAAATATTTAATCCATGATTCTTGTCAAATAAATCAAAACCCAAAAGAGCCTAATAAAAATTAAATGGAAAATTATATTGATATTTAATAGCCACAGAAAAAAAAATTATGTGTGCTGATTTGTAAACTAATATTTCAAAACTTAATCTTTCATAACTTTCTGATTTTTTTAAAATTCACCTTAGAATTATACCTGCATGCAAATGTGTTTACCCATTGCCATGATATGTTTGCTAGCAAGAAGCAGCACAGAGCTTGTGATGTCGTGTTTTTCTCTCACCAGTCTTCCACCAAATGCTGATCCTTCCTTACCGCCACCCATTCCGCCTCGCCACTCTGTGAGGGCACCTGACAGAAGTGACAGTTTGAGTGAAACAAGTAAGGCATGACCAGGCACAAGCTTGTGCATTTGTCGTCCATCAAGTCTTGATGGTTATTTTTACAGGGGTTCAAATTCAAGTTACTTTGATTTAAATCCAGGCTGTGGTATTTAAAAAGCAAAAAAAAAATTTTTCGAAAATATATATTATTATATTTTTCAAAAGTTGAACAAGGTAATTATATTTGTCCTTTAAAAATTCTGTGGCTAAAGTATTTCTTCACTAAACTGAAATGATTTCATTTTCTTATTATATCTTACTCTAGAATTGAATGAGCATTATACCATCTAATTACCTTATACTTCCCTTTTTTTTTTACCCCATTGCTTTAGCTAAGTAATATAAATACTAATTTTTAAGATTATTGTTGTTATTCACCTTTTACCTTTTGCACATACATTTTAAAAGTAACTTCATCAGCTTTTTTTGAAGAGAGTTAATGCTTTTAAATGTGTAATATACATCTTTAAATAAAAATTATTTCCTTTATTGTGCCTACTTTGCTATAAAAGCAAACTGATAACATTATAGAAAATAACAAAGCTGCTCCATAACCTTTTTTTGCTGTAACATTGTTGATCACCAAAAAAACCCACTGAAACAAACCTTTGAGATGAGCTCTTTTGGGGCATGCTTAAAAATAAAGAAAGAATAACAGCAGTAATATAATCAGTATAGAAAGATAGTTTTCTGTAGAATACTCTAACCCAGACTATACCACTGTAAACATTTATCCTGCTTGCTAACAAGAATATTAATATACCCCGTTCAGTAGAGTTTTTAAAGAAGCTTATTTACTTTTTGTTTTGTTCACAAGTTTTGTTATATATAAATCTAAATGTGCACTCTTATAATACTCAAAATATTTCACGTAAACATGCCATGCCATAGTTTTAATGCCAACAGTAAGTCATAACTGAAAACTATGGTATAGGAACAGTCCGGGATAAAGCTTTGTTCTCTCCGCAAACATAAAATTAAAAAAATGTTGTTTTTTTTTTAAAATTCTGTTTAAAACTATTTAAAAAAATTTTTTTTTCAAAGTGGAGATTCTATTCCATTTGAATTATTATTAGAACTTAAAAAATCTTTATTCTTGTTTACAAGCCAATAAGATTTTATTATCTTTAGCTATTTACAATATCCCATGCAGTTTATTTATTGAGGGACATTGCTTGTGAAGCTGATTCCTGCTCCCGATTTCTACGTTCCTATAAGTTAAAATTAATTTACATACTTTGCTCTTTGGGGGTGAGGTAAGCTCCAGAAGTTGGCTACAAGAAAACTGCCTGTTCCATGCAGCATCACAATTTTTTTTTAAAACGAACCTCAGACAGAACATACCCCACACAAATACCCTCTCCAGGCTTAACACCCCTTCGAGTGCCATCTGACAGAGGCAGTGAGAGGGACCTGTCCAGCGATGAGGACAAGAGTAAACTTAGTGCCAGTCCCAGGGATATCAGCCCATCAACGAGAAGTCCATCGGTGAGTAGATTCTACATGCAGCTCTATGCTGCCTTTCACCTGACCTTTATCTCATGAGCTTTGAACAGGATCAATAAAAATGAAATCTTACCAGTTGAAGTTGAAACAAATAAAAAATATGATTTTTTTTTCTTAATTAAAGAAAGAATAGCTTAAGACCCAGATACCTATTGACGGCTGATGACAGTACTTCCCACTCTTTATCATTATTATTTTTTTAACCCAGAAAAGGTGTAACTGGACAGATATATAGATTTAGATTAACTTTGCTTGTTATTGAATGTTAATCAAGTGAATGAAAAGCTCTGATAAGTTTTGTTTCATCTAAAAAAATGTATTAATGAAATATTTATATATAATATATTTAGTATTTTTAAGACATGATTATTGAAGGTTAATAAATGAAGGACCGCGTTTGTTCAAGCTGTGTAAAGGAAATAGTAGAACAACGTATGTGGAAGCTTGAATGGAAAGACAGGACAATAAGAACGTTTTGGCTAAGAGCCTTCCTCAGCAGGCTGGGTGAGGGTGGCCGAGCGGTCTAAACTGCCTCAAACCAAATAGCTGGTGGTCTGGAGTTCAATCCCCACCAAAGCCAACGTCCCAAGCACCCCTGGTTGGATGGTACTCGTTAGCCTTGGACGGCAACCCATCTAAGAGAAGGAAAACTCTGAATTTAAACCAGAAGCCAGAATGCTCAACAAATTGATCGTGGGCCCCTCAAATATAAGAAGAAGAAGGAAACTACAAGAAATAGAAACTAGTTATAAAATACTTAAGTCTTCATCATTGTTATTGCCTGAAGTTGGATTTTCCAAAATCAAGATTGCAGGAAGTAAACGAATACATGTATTATAACTATGAAAAATACCATCTTAATGGACAAAGATGTTTTGGAGATTTATAAAATATAAGAAATGAGAAAGGAAATACATGGAGATTGAGGATCAATAGCAGGAGAGTATTTGATTAATTTCAAGGGGATGATTTTGCACCGAAAAGCTGAATTAATTTGTTTTCCCTTCTAACTCTCACCACAGAGAGTTCTTATCTTATTGTCATGTCTTTTGATCCAAGTTTCCTCGTACCATGTTCTACTATTTCCTTCATGATTTATTAAAAGATTAAGTTCCCACTCTTTAACATGGAAAATTATTTCATCAAATTTTTATTTTCAACAGGACCAACCCAAGAAACCTCCAAGGAAGAAACCTTTAAGTTTTCGCAGAACCGAGCAAGGCCAGCCTGCTTCGGCAGATGCTGCCTCGTCAGCAAGCAACTATGTTAACTTTGACCCGGAAGTAGAAAAAGCTCTTATTGATGCTAAAATGTCCATAGAATCAGAATCAAAGACAAAAGGTAGCTTAAAGAATGCAAAAAACTTCAGCTGGAACCTTTACAATTTTAAGTGTTAAAATAACATAGTGAATGCGCAAAATTGTGTCCAGCTTTTAATATCTTGAGAAACATTTCAAATTTAAAATAATTTCTTCATTTTATTTTATATTATTTCTTAGATTTGTAACAAAGATAAGTGAATTTTAGCTCCCCTTTTATCCCCCCATCCCCCTCCTTATCCTCTCCCTTTTATCCCTCACCCCCTTTTTTCCCTTTTTGTGTGTGTGTTTGTGTGTTCACCCACAACCCAAATAAAGAAGTTTTTCTCCTACACTATACATGAAGTTCATAACTTACACATACATATTGGACAATTCAGTTTCATTTGGGCAAAAGGAGATTGAACAAGAAAGGTTGCTCCAAGCAGGAATGCTTGCTGGTCTCATACTTTTGCTGCATGATGTAAAATAATGAAGAGGGAAAACCCCCAACCATATTCATACTCATTTCACCCTCAGCGACACGCCCCACAATGTTTAGAGGACCACTGTTAAGCTATAACTTATGAGACTTTTTTTTTCTTCTTTGGACCTAAATTATTCTGTTTCTCTTCAAATGCAATCTGGTGCTTAAGTTTTCCCTCCCATAGTTATGGATAGTAAGTGTTTGATTTATTTAGTTTTTACTAGCATATTTTAATGAAGTTTTGCTAGCCTACAACTCTTTGTTAAATTGAATGAAAATTTTCTTTTCATTTTAAATCTTTGTTAAACTATTTTTTAAAAGTCACCTTGCTTTCATGTTCATTTAATGACAGTTTTTGTATCATCCGTTTGATGTTTTGGATCTTTTTGTAGCTAAGATTTTTTTTTTTTTTTAAAGACTAACATACACTAGCTAGTAGTCTTGCTTAGATTTTGAGCCAGGCATTATACTTTTTGCTTTTCCTAGATACTAACCCATCCCTAGCTGCCCCCAGAAGGGACATGACAACATCTGATATACCGCCCCTGATACAAACGGTGGCCGATAACAACAATGAAAAACCCAATGTTGATCTGTCAGAGCCCCCTGCAGGCGCCGCGGAGGGAGACAATACCAAAGACTTTAGCAAAATATCAGATAATGTTATTCCCCCTGAGGCCACATTACCAGAGATAGAAGGGAGGAAAAGTAATTCATTTATACAGCCTTTTATTTAATCTTTTATTTATTTTTTTTGTTGAAATGATTAGCAATAAATATTTAGATAAATAATCCTGCTTTGAATTTGTTAAAATTTTCATGCATGGTTTATTTCAATTTTATGACTTAATTTATTGTTAGTGTGTTCATAAAGTTAACTAATGTTAAAATGCTTCCTAATTGGGCTCATGTCTTGTACAAGTGTTATATGGTAATCTTTGCCCTGATAAGTGTGTCTCTGAAATCTTCACCTAAATTTTTTTTTAAATATTCTTTTTTGAACTTCTGCCTTTATGAAATGTGGAAAAAACAAACATCTGTAGCAAATTAATGATACAGTTAAAGTTAGTCTAAGACTCTGAGAATATTGATTGACAAACCCACTCACATGACTCTCAGTAATATATTGATTGACAACCTACTCACACGACCCCAAGAATATTGATTGACTAACCCACTCACATGACTCTGAGAATACGGATTTACAAACCCACTCATATGACTCTGAGAATATTGATTGACAAACCCACTCACATGACTCTTAGAATATTGATTGACAAACCCACTCACATGACTCTTAGAATATTGATTGACAAGCCCACTCACATGACTCTGAGAATACGGATTTACAAACCCACTCACATGACTCTGAGAATATTGATTGACAAACCCACTGACATGACTGACAAACCCACTCACATGACTCTCAGAATACTGATGCACAAACCCACTCACAAGTCTATGAGAATATTGATTGAGAAAGCTACCACATGACTCTGAGAAAATTGTTGACAAACCAACCAGATGCTATAAATAGGTGCAACCCTCACAAGAGAATATTTTCACAATGTAAATCATTTCCCTGATGTGTAACAGGAAGTGAATTGCTGAGATAAGACAACACACAAGAATGTTTCAGTTAGCTTCCAGTTGCTCAAGAATGTGCTATTGCTCATATTGAAATAATTTTGGTATTGATTTCATGTTTGCTTTATTAATTAAGTATTAACAGTACTATATTATTTGGTAAGTGAATACAAAACTACTTTAACAAATTTTTGTGTCATTTTTAGGTAGACTTATATTATTTGTGTACTTTACAGATGAGGCAGTTTCCAAGCCTCCATCATCCTTGGACATTAGCCAGTCAGCAGCAGAAAGCAACCCAGCTCCACGATCACCAACCCATCATCGGCAGCCTCCCACCCCCGATTGCCCACCTCCATCCCCTGGAACGGCTCTCCAGAATATTCATCGTAAAATACAACCAATGGTATGTTGTTTGTTAGTGTTTATAACGATTGGAGAGAAAAATTATGAGCGACCAAATTTTTTTTTCTCCTAAAATTCATAATAAATTTCACCCACACATGAAATGTTTATAAATGAAACAAGCTGAGACTGTACGGGTTTTAAAGGATACCTTATTGTATGTGTGTCATCACTGCTGTTTTATGAGACGGGCTGAGATGTTAAGTGGCTCTTATCAAACTGCTGGGCAGTGATTCCAAACTTGGGATATACAAACAGCCAATAGATGAAAAATAAAATATCTTTGAAATATATTTTAAAAAAAAATAATTTTTTTTGCTGTACCCATCTGCTTATGGGATATAAGAATGTATTTCAGTTTATTGAAAATATTTCACGTTCAATAATTGCTTGATTGAAAAGTCAATTTTTCATTTTAAAAATGATTCCATGGCTCAGTGGCTATTGCTGACTATTAAACAGTTACTGAGTTGAATTCAATCACCTAGATTAACAGTAAATGTATTCATTAGATCTTTCAACATGAAAATGTTGGATTTCTGTGGTTATTTTTAAATCAGTGCGGGTCCATTGTGTTGCATGTCTTGGGGACCACTGCAATATGGAGTTTGTAAGTGCTGTAAGCAAGACATATTTAAAAAGACATCCACTTGTGCCTTTTGACGGCATGGTGGGTACATGAAGGTCCTCTGAAATATTCATAAACATTTTTACTTTCAGCAGGAAAAGCGCAGGTCAAGAGACATGGAAACCATCACAGACTCAACCTTGATTGATCAGGATGACAACAGCCCTCCTCCAGATTCTCATGCAGCTATTGATTTACTAACTCCAGTGACCGAAGAGGTCAGCCTGATTGCGGGCGGGAAGCCAGCCACTAAGAAGAAGCCCATGCCTCTCCCTCGCAAATCCAGCCTGACCTCAGAGACCAAAGATCTGGTGAAATCTCCAGCACTTCACCCCTCTGAAGGGTCAATCAGCGTAACTGTGTCAGGATACAACGCCTCACCCCCGCCAGGTAAGGATGCGTTGGACGGTTACGATGGAGGTAGACCTGCCAGCAACGGCAGGATCCCGCACAAGGAAGATCAGATTAAAAGTGAGGAAGAAGTCAAGGGAGATCATGTTTTGCGCAGCGGGAGGTCCTCCTCAGACTCTTCAGTAGTGCTCTCGACATGTGACGATGGGACCAGCTTTGTTGAAGTCCTGGGAGAAACTGTCCACATGAGGAGGTCGGTCAGTGCAGGACAGGAGTCCAGTGACTGGGAGGGACATATCTTTGCTGGTGAGTTGTATGTTTTTATTGATTTTGTGTTTCTTGGAAGTAGAGATTTTAAACAATTTTTTAACTATTTGCCTTTTCAGCCACCACATGAATCAAGTCCCTAAGAAATGTGTTAGAGTTATAAAAAAATAATTATTATTTGTAATTTGTAGACCAGCAACAATCCCTTCATATCCATCCAAATAGGGATTTTGATGTCCAGAAGAATCACAATGAGTGTGGTTCATTAAAAACTTTTTTTTTGTATACCATGTCTTTTGACATTCTAAGAATCAAAGATCTCTGGTGTATGTGACTAGATTGAAACGTCAGATCATCTTTACTATGAAGTATTTTGGAAGTGTCATTTCTTGAATTAATTTATTTCATTTCTTTTCTTTTTTCCCTCTAAATTTTGATGTGCATAATTTAATTTTAAGTTTCTGGGGTAAAATTCTGCTGTTGAAATTTTTGTGTTCAGCATGAATTTGTGTACACTTCATATCCTATGGTTATGTTTCTGTCTGGCTATAGTTAATCATTTTACTGGCCTTTCAGTTTAAATACAAGACATCTAGAAAAAATGTGTAAATTGTCTTTCATTTCTTGGGATGCTAAATTTGCATGATGAATTAAAATGTTAAATTTTCATGACAAATTAACATGATTAATTTGCATGATAATTAACATTATAAATATAATGCTTGCAAAAATAAATAAATCACTAAAATATAGACATTAAGAAATAGTGCTGATTGCTTGTGTGAAAAGGTTGCTTGTGAGCAGCATCTTTTGATAAGTTTCACTTTTCAAGTATATAAACTAGTTACACATCAGCAGTGATTTTTTTTTTAACTCTGATAGTTAAAACAGAAAAAAGTCCTCTTTTCATTAGATTAAATTAGAGGTAAATGTTTCAGTTTTTTTACTGCTAGACTGGCACAAATATTGATTTTTTTCATTTCTCCCATTGGGTTTTTGGGAATTTTGTTCCATTTTTTAAAAAATTTTATAGTGTAATGTAGGCCAAAAGCACAGTGTTTCACACACATGAATAACCTAGAAATTATATTTTCTAAAAATTTGAACATATGTCCTAACTTTTAAAAAATATGTGAACCATTTGTAATATATGTAGCTTTAACAGATTTTGGTACATTGGAATCTTCATTTAAAATGTAACCAAACCTTTCCCTTGTTTCTGTCATTGTATTTCTTGGGTGTGTCGCCAAACGTCCAAGTACTAATCGCCTGACATCTTCTCTAACTTTTTTTTGCATACAGATTATG